CTAAAACACAATTTTGGACACTCTAAAATATAAGGCTATAAGATTATCTTAATATGCACTAAGGCATATTATATATGTATTCATGCTATAGAAGAGATTTTATTCATGCCCAAAGTGAATATAGAGTTGGTAATTGGGTGCGGTAAAAACAACTAAAAGTGTATTACAATGCAATAAGAATGACATCCCCTAGAAAAAAAAACTATACCAAAAAGAATTTTAAAAATGTATGTTTAATAATGTAAAACATCTTTCCAAGGTTAGAAATGTGAAGTAACACAACCGCAAAAAAAAGAATTCACATCAATGGATGGATTAAAATCCACAAACTCCACTCAAAATGGATGAAAACAGATCAAAATTGAGAATATTGTGGGTACGATTCAACATTAAATAAGTAATAACCCATGATCCAAAGTTGGAAAATTCAAAATGAATGGAAAAAAATTATTTCTAAATCCGAAAATCAAACTCACTTCCTGAATAAAAATCAGCGATGTTATCAAATAATTGATGACAAATTAAAAAAACTAAGATAAACCAAATATGGAATTAATTATGCAAATAATTCAATTGGGAAATCTAATAATATATTATGTCATTTATGAATAAAAATTTTTTTAGTAACATACCAGGTTGAATTCTTGGAGGGATCCTACAAAAATGGCTTGCTCATTATTTTCGATGAAGATGCAATTCAATAATTGAAAATCGCATAGCCAAATAAGGAAAATGAAAACTGAAAAGAGAGAAGATCGTAAATAGATTTTATGGAGAAGAAGAGCAACTGATAAGGAAATAATGATTGTGGTTGAAAATCCTAAAATGTCCTTGTGAAAAGAATGAAAAAGGAACGGATGAGATGTAGATCCAATGGCTATAATTCATTCTTATTTTTTTCATTAGATTTCATTCGTATTTGAACCTATATATATATATATATATATATATATATATATATATATATATATATATATATATATATATATATATATATATATATATATATATATATATATATATATATATATATATATATATATAGTAGATTCATAGGCTTTCAGAGCTATCCCCTTTTTCTTTTGTTCATCCTAAGACGGGGTTAAAATATTAGATTCATAGGTTTTAAGATTACCTCTTAGCCCGTCGATGGTGACGTTGGAGACTCCAATGGATTCATAGATTGCATCGGCTTTTGATCTCCATTCGGGGATGAGACTTCGCAGGATTTTCCTTACGAGATCCTTGTTGGTATATGTCTTCTTAAGAGCATGAAGATCGTTTATAATCTTTGAGAACCGATCAAACATGTCGTCGATTTTCTCACCTTCCTTCATTCGGAACATTTCATATTCTTGGGTGAGAAAATCGATCTTGGCTTCACGCACTTGATCGGTACCTTCGTACGTCACTTTAAGCTTGTCCCACATCTCCTTGGTGGTTGTGCAACAGGAGATCTTTCGGTAGTCGTCGGGGTTGACCGCACAATATAGCATGTTGATGGCCTTTGCATAGTTTTCAACCTTCTTGATGTCTTTGGCATCAAACTCGTCCTCGATCTTTGGGACGGTGGTTTCTCCCACTTTCTTCATTGGGATTTGCTCGTCATTTTTGATGACCAACCACAATTGGAAGTTGGTGGAACGGATATAGATTCTCATCCGTTCCTTCCAATAGGAGTAGTTTGTGCCATCAAAAAGCGGTGGCCTAGAGGTGGATTGCCCTTCGCCAATACCTGCGTACAAATTTCTAGAAGAAGAGCCCATGATCTTATTCCTCTCAAACGGTTAAGTCTGGAAGAGAGTTAGGCTCTGATACCAATTATTAGAAAAACGTCCCAACGCTAGAGGGGGGGTGAATAGCATTTGAAACGAAAAACGACGCAGGAGTAAAAATTAAAAGCGTAAAGTAAAGAGCAAGGAAGAGGCACACCGTTTTTACCCTGGTTCACCACAACTTGTGGCTAGTCCAGCCTCCCGAGAGACTCTCTCGAGCTACACTACTATCTCGTTAAGCTTAATGGTGCTTAACTGATAAGTTCATTTTGTTCTTATTTTATTCTACATATTTTAAGCGTTATTGCACGAAAATAGTAATAAATTTACCCATTGAAAGTGTCTACTAGTGACAAAACTGATGTTTTGTCTCAAGAAGAATAAAATACAGGTTCTAAATTAAATTAAGTGGATTTGTCAATTTTATGTACAAATTGGATAAAAAGTTTTAGAT